TTAAATTGAAAATATCAGACCACATTTGATTGGAAAGATGGTCTTTCTTGGAGAAAGTAAATGGACCTTGATTAGCAGGCAAGAGTGGGAAGGAACACTTCAGGCAGAGGAAATCACCGATACACACCAGAGCAGTGGGAAAGCACTGTATTTGGGCAAGATGAAAAGTCCACTCTGACTATAAGGCAGTTTTAAGTGAGAAGGAAGAGTAAGATACTCTACAAGGATTTTAATTTTATTTTGGTAGGCAACCGAGTAACTGGAGGCTCTTTGAGGAAAAGAGTGACTCGCTCAGGATGCTTTAAGATAATTCATCTGGCAACAATGTGTAGAATAGATCACAGCAGGACCAGACAAGAGGCCACAAGGCAAAGTAGGAAGGTGTGGCTAAAGTCCAGGAGTTGAGAGGTAGTGCCAACCTAAACAACTGTGGTCTTTATTAGAAATGAATTACTATCTAATAGATGTGCCAATTGACTGATGGTTTGAGAAAAGGCAGAAAAAGGAGTATCAGGCTTGGAGAATGGCTAATTTAAAATATGGTGATATAATTAACAAATGAAAACTAATCTGGTGACAAAGATGACCAGTTCAGTCAGCAAACATGACCAGTTGAAGTTGCCAGTGGGATATCCTGGTGAATATTTCAAGAAGATAGGAACCCAGGTTCCAAACCCAAAAGCAAGTTTGGTGCTAAGACATGCAGATTCTGGCATTCTCTGTATAAAGATAATAGTTTAATATGAGTGTAATGATTTTGGGACACCTGGGTGGCTCAGTTGGCTAAGCGTCTGCCTTCAACTCAGGTCATGATCCCAGGGTCCTAGGATTGAGCCCTGCACCCGGCTCCCTGGTCCGCGGGAGGCCTGCTTCTCCCTTTCTGTCTCCCTCTGCCTCTCCCCCTGCTTATACTCACTCTCTCTCTTTCAAATAAATAAATAAAAGCTTTAAAATAAGTAATGATTTCTAGTCTTTTAGAAGAAAAACAACAAATACAGTATTCTTAATTAAATATTCCCTCAAACTCTAAATAATCCTAGCTCCAATCTTCTAAAACTGACTTTGAAAAAAATAAATAAATAAAAAATCAATTGCCCAAAGGTCAAAGAGAGATGAAAGAAAGAAAGAAGAAAAAACACAGGTATACCCAATTAACATCTGCTTCCATGAACTTAAGACTTTCAGGCTTTCAGACTTGATCAAATTTCCATGCAATAACTGAAGTCAGTAAAGTCTAATTTATTTAAAATTCATTCATTTAGAATTTACAATAATTCCTACAGACTGGGGCACCTGGGTGGCTCAGTTGGTTAAGCGTCTGCCTTCAGCTCAGGTCATGATCCCAGGGTCCTGGAATCAAGCCCCATGTGGGGCTTCCCTGCTCAGCAGGGAGTCTGCTTCTCCCTCTCCCTTTGCCCTTCTCCTGGCTCACGCGCTCTCTCTCTCTCAAATAAATAAATAAAATCTAAAAAAAAAAAAACAATTCCTACAGACTGCTCTGAAATTTGCCTTTGAAATTTCCATTAGAAAAGGGTTTTCTAAGGAAAGAGAAATTGCAGAAATATGTAACATTCAATCAACCTAAATTGTGAGATACCTAGAAAGCATTTACATACAGAAAACTTAGGATAATTATAATTCATGCTTATCTATTCTTTAACTTGGTTAGTTTTCAATTTCTAGTATTCTTTAAAGGAGTGAAATTAATCATACTTTTTATTAATCTTCCAAGTTCATCAAAGTTCACCAGAATTTATTTCAAGAATAAAGTTAAGCTGAACTAAGCAAAAGTTAGTTTTCAATTACTTCCCAATCCCTACTTTTCCTTGCATTTTGCTCTCTCTTTGAATCTCTTCTTTCATCAAAACTTTGTTTCATAAAAGAGCTGATGTTTTGTACGAAGGTAGTTGCTTTTTAGTCTTTTCTCTAATAATTTAAGTTCCCTCGTTAAGTTCCCGCCCTTTTTGGAACAAGGCATTTTTGGAACAGAAAGTGCTTTCTGTTGCCCAGTAGTCTCACCATAAACCTACCTACGAGTAACACTTTAAAGTGCCCGAGTCGTGCATTTAAATATGCCATTTATTTTTATCCATACAAATAGTTGATTTAGGTACAGAGTACCAAGTTGTTTGTGATCATGGATTTGTTAACTGAGTTTGGAAGGGTAATTTGGAAAGATTTCACCGAGGTTAGGACACCAGTGTATGAAATACTTGTCAAGAGAAAAACCCTTTCAAGAATGAAAAGGACCTTGCCCAATTTGGCCCCCACCCATGATTACCCTCAGCTACAGAAGGTCCCTGGCCTGGTTTCCTTCGTGCGAGACCTAGGTGTGTGGAAACTGCACGGTCTGTTACTTCCCCAGCCACTTTCCCCAGCACAAAGGAATCCGCAAGCACCAACTGTTGGGGGGCGTTGGTGACTGAATTAGTTTGCATTAAAGGCACCTTTTAAGTTTCGGAGGGTTTCTAAACCCTTCGCCTCACTGTAACCCGCTGAGGTCAGGAAAGTCGACACGCGCATCTGCCCCAAGCCAGGTGGCCCGAGCGAAGCTAAAGGGGCACTAGAGGTGGGAGAGAAACACCGCCCAGAACTCGCCGCGAAGGGGGCCGCGTGTGTCCGGCCTGCGCTGCGGCGGCGCGGAAGGCCCCGCCCCTCGACTCCCCTCGCTCCGCCCCGCGGCCCCGCCCCTTCCCCGGCCGCGCACTCGCGCGCCCCGCCCGCGGACGGAAGCGAGAGCGAGGCTGAACGCCTGACGTCAAGGCGACACCGCCAAACCTCGCCCAGAGTCAGGCGTGTAAACCAGCCGGAGCGGCGGCGGTGGCAGCGGCAGTACCGCCGTGGCGCCGGGAGCAGCGACCCGGAGGGAGCTCGAGGCGCGGGGCGACGCGGGCTGCGGGGACCCGGTGACAGCGTGAGAGGTTCGCAGAGTGCGTGCGTGGCCGCTGAGGGGAGCGGCGGCGGCGGCCGCGCGGGGCGGGGGCCGGGCGCCGGCTGAGGGGAGCGGGTGGGGTGCGGCGCGGGCCGGGCGGGGCGCGCGCGGCGGTCAGGGACCCTGGCGGCGGCGGCGGCGGCGGCGGCGGCTTCACGGCGCGCTGCAGGTGGTGCGAGGGCCCGGCGACCGGACGGCAAGCGCGCTGCCTCCCGGGCCGGCGGGGACGAGCCGCCGCTGCCGCCTCCGCGGGGGAACAGCGCGCTTTGCGGAAGGGGTCAAATGTCTGAAATATGGCGGAGGAAGTGAGAGCCCGAGGACCCCCCCCCCACACACACACACCCGCTCGCTCCCTCCTGTCCGCGGCCGCCGCAGCCTCTCTCGCCGCCCGCCGGCTCCCCGGAGCACTCGTCCCCCGCCCCGGAGCCCCCTCGCTGGCCACCTCGGTGCCCTCCAGGGTGTGGGTGGAAGTTAGAACGGAAATCAGAAAGTTGTCCTTTGAGAAGACGCCGCTTCCCCCAGCCCCGAGCCAGGACGAGGAGCGTTCGGGGGAAACCACTCCCCGGCGCCCTGCAGGCTCCAGCCTGACAGGGAAAAAGTTTGCCTGAAACGGGACTGGTTTGCTCCATTTGTTGCGGGAAGTGGCAGGAGGAAGGCAGGGGAGGGAGCCCCACCTAGTCTGGCAGCAACCACCGCGTAGGGAAAAACTGTTAAAGGGGCCTTTCCCTTCGTCAGCAGGAGGAAATCTCTTTTCTCTTACAGAGGGAGACAAAATCCAGGAAGTTTGTCGTCTTCTCTTTTTCGCCATCTCGATGTGTCTAATCCTAAAACTGTCAGCACCAGGAGTTTTATTTAAAATTACCCCCAATTAACCGGGCTGTTTGGAATTTTCTTCTGAAAAGAACTGATGACTTTTGGAGAAAAGATCATCCTTGCGAGTTTAAGCACAAGATTTGCTTCCCCTTTGCTCCACCCCCCCATTAGTTTAGCAAAACATTTTTGCCCTGCAACTCTTGTTTGAAAGGAACGTAAGCAGTTCTGTATTACAGTAACGGGAAATTACATTTTTAACGGGGTAGAAAGTTGACACTAAATTAACATTGTGATTTTAGTATTTTAAGATTAATTCAGTCTAACTGGATTTTTGTTTTGCTGGTAGCATCTAATGTATATCGAGTGCTTACAACTTAAACCTTCTAACTCGCAAATTTATCTTTTACTCTCTTTTTTGTAATTAGATGCTGTTTAGACTTGCGCAACAAAACCTTATCTTAGCAAGAAACTATAAAAAAGGGAGACGTTCGTTTAATTTCAAACTCCGATCTCTCCTCAAAGCTGACTCTTGAATAGTATTTGAGTCATAATGGAGTCATGGGACTTTTTAAGGGCCGGAAGGGACTATTTAGGTCATCCAGTTCCACCCTCTCATGTTACGGAGGAGGAAACTGAGGCCTGGAAAAGATAAGATTAGTTAGTGGCCTTGCTGACTTTGAGGACAGTATGTAAAAGAGAACCAGGAGAAAGAAATAGAATATTTTTATAGTGAATTACATTTTTACAGGATAACAATCGTATACAAAATGTTAGTACCGTAGTCAAATAGTGTGGAAGAACCACATTCCCAAGTTTAGGAGAGGAAATTGATACTCAAGGAGGTTGAATAACTTTAAGGACACAGAGCCCTGAATGATGGTCTTATTTGAGCCCTTCCTGCTTTTAAACTCTGCATGACACAGTGTTTTCACTTGGATTTTCTTCTTTGGCATTCTAAATAAATTGTGAGGTTGCCTTATCTGAGGAAGCCACAAAGTAAATTTATAAAACACCTGTAGCCAGTTTAGTTTTAATGTGCCAGGTATCAGAATACAACTGAAGAACCCGATAATAAACTGGCTTAATTTAAAAATGTGATAGAGGGCATGAAACAGTTACTCTGACTTTTGCATTCTCCCCCTAACACCCTCAGGCTTCACTCCATGAAAGTCATCTCTTTCTTTCTGTGACGCCTATCACTTCTAACATTCTGTTACTGTTAGGTTATCATTCATACTATTTTTGTTACCTGTTCCACTAAGTTGTAAAGTCCAGGACAGGATGTCTTCTTTGTATGCCCCAAAGCACTGGCATGGTACATTGCACATAGATAATACCAGTTTGTTAAATGTAAGCATAATGAGGGTAGGGACCATTGCATTCCCCATTGTATTCTTAGTTCCTAGAACCTTGCCTGTGCAGATAACAAGTGTTTAGCATTTAGACTTAAGAAATAACTGTAGTGAACATTTGAGAATATTTGAAGAGAACGTTGTCTTCCTTCAAAAGAAACATTTCTACATTGGCTTTGGAATCCTTTTAACTTTATAAATTGATTTTCATTTTATCCTCAAAACAACCCTTATTAGAATTCCAATATAGAATTCCAATATTTTCTCTTAGCCATATAAAGGGGAAGTGAAACCCCCATGGTAAGGGGCCATCAAGTAAGGAACATCTGTTGAGATGTAATAAAGAATTAATCATAAAACTTTGATCATGTACATAAATACCATATTAAGTGCATCTTCTAGTGTAATTCAAGACTAGTAGAAGGCCTATTGAGAGGTTGATAACATAGTAACTAACTATACATGTCTAAGATTTGGATGAGAAATTGCTCATGTTCAATTTTGACTTTAGTAGGTACTTGATGAATATTTGTTAAGGGAGTGAAATTAATCAGTGAAACTGGATCTGAATACAGAGAAAATTTGGCTGTTTTACACAGGTGTTATTTTTTTTCCCAAATGTGTGATATTAAATAAGCGATTTTATTATTGAATACCAAGTTCTCACTGAAAGCGCACGTGTCATTTTCCTAGACTTAATGTGTTCCTCTGTATGTATTGATCAAGAGGGTGGATATTGATCTGTACTGTCTAAATTTGACACACCAGGAATAGTTTAGTATTTATGAACTAAATAGTCAAAAGTGCTTTTTTTGTTGTTGTGGCAGTGATGTCACATGTTCAGTCTATAGAAAAACTTTGATAAGATTGATCTTAAATTTTGTAGGACCACATAAGACTGTGATTAAAATAAATGCCTTGATTATTTTTCCCCTCTTAGCATTTTTGAGGACTCCATAGTCTTAGAGATTAGGCTGAAGTTTTTACCGTTGGCCTTTTCAAGTTGAATTTCTTGTAGAAAAAGTTAAGAACGGACATTCTGGCTGATGCAATGATTCATTGTAACATTGGACAGATTTTTCAATAAACAGGAGTACTGTACCATGTGCTGAAACACTTGTGCTGAAAGCCTAATATTTTTCAGTGTTCTTAGGTATTTTGCGATAGTATCCAAAGGTACTAATTACCATTTGAGGACTTAAGTCTTTATTAATTCTTTGGAAATCTCATGAATACATTGGAAGCAGTAGCTACAAAGAATAGAATGAGTTTATCCATTTGCAGGAAAGACTAGCTTGCTATATATATAATCTGTTGTACTTTGAGCCTAGTTGAACACTGGGTTCTAGTCATAGAATTTCTGTTTTAAAGAAGAAAGGTTATGTTGCCTTTAAAAAATTAAAACCACTTTTTAAAATGTTCCACAAACAAAAAGAAATACCACTATTCCATACTTCCTATCACTGGTGTGTTTATTCCTAATGTTAGTCAAATTGGGGTATACAGCATCTGATTATTACTTCAGTAGTGATTTAGAAAGAATTTTTGCTCAGCATTAATAGAGGATCAAGAATTTTTAAACTTATGTTTCCAAAGAGCCTTAAAACTTAGAAAGAAATGAACATTTAGGGAAATGTACCATGTTTTAAATAATATTTAAATTACTTATCAAAAGAAAAAATACCTGCAACATGAACTGAAGAATTTCCATCTGGTTTTTATTATACAGAACAATATTCTGGAATATAACTATGATTAAAATTTGTTGTATTTGAGGTACTTGAGTACTAGAAATATGTTCACTTTTAGGGGTGCCTGGATGGCTCAGTCATTAAGCATCTGCCTTTGGCTCAGGTCATGATCCCAGGGTCCTGGGATCGAGCCCCACATCGGGCTCCCTGCTCAGCGGGAAGCCTGCTTCTCCCTCTCCCACTCCCCTTGCTTGTATTCCCTCTCTCGCTGTGTCTCTCTCTGTCAAATAAATAAATAAAATCTTAAAAAAAAAATATGTTCACTTTGAAATTAAGAATCCCAGTCTCTCTAGCCATAGAGAGAAATTACCTAGTGTTCTGATTTTGGATTTTACATTGAGTTGGTTTCTAAAGCTTACTCTTGTAGTTATGCTATTTTATAATTTTGTAGTTAAGTTCCTTTATATACTTTATATATTTTATACATATAACCAGTGAGACCTTTTAAATTTAAACCATTCTGATCTCATGAGATAATTTGCTAGGTAATCTTTTCCAGTGGTGAGGAAATCAGTATTTTTAACTGTTGTCCAGGTAGACTCAATAATGATGTTAAAGGAAGAGAGCATTTATTTAAATCAGTTACAAATCATTTTGATTGCATTAAATTATTGACTTCTTGGAATCATCATCTTCACATCATCTTCACATTATAGATCTTGCTGAATTTTCAGTATTGCTTTGAAAATTTATTTCAGTAAATATGTACTTTTAATAAAATGGATTTTTTTATATTCAAAACTTAGCATTTCACTGAATAATTTTACTTTGAAAATATACAGTGAACTGATTGCCCCAATAGTGGATTACCTCTACCTGTTTTCCTCTTTGCCTTGTGGAAGAGAAAAAAGATGAAAGAAAATCTGTTTTGTCCATTTAATAGTTTTTGGCAAAAGCTTCTGGAAAGGAAATGGAAAATGTTACGTAAAATAAAATTCTAATTATCTGTGTCTTCTAAAATTTATACTTCTAAAGTTTATACATTGGAATATATTTTTCCAAGTCACTTTATTCTAAAAAAAATTAGACTTTCTGAAAGTTCTCAGTTAATGGGACTGAGGATGTCAGTAAAATAAAAACTGTAAATATAAACTAATTAGTAGGTTCTGGATGTCAAAGTGGTATGCATATTGCATCCAACTGTTATCTTGTGTTTTAAGGTTACAGTGAGAATATTACTATTACTACGTAATGGCTAGCAAAGTTATAGCTGCTACCTAAGATTGATAAGTTATGGTTACGCTCCTTGATAACAAAACTCCGGAATCCCTGGGTAATCTTGAATTCTGTACTGTACAGCTAATAAGGATAGGGGTGAAGTATATAAATATGTGTGTTTTCTTCTCTTGAAATTGTGCAACTTGAGATATTGCATTGAATTTGTATTGGTAAGACTGGCTGAGTTTTTAAATGTATGTCTTTTGAAGTTCCTTATTAAAGTGTTTAGAACACAGAAAAATATAAAGGAAAAAATTAATGTCCTGTATAATCCCACCAATACAATGAATTTTTAGGCAAAATTCGTACCTCCTTTTCTGAACCTTTCATACCTCCTTGGTTCTTCAGTGGGAACAGTGGCATATACTTAAGAGTTGTTGAGGATTAAGTGGAGTATTATCTATAAATGATTATAAAAGAGTATACTAACGTAGTATTAGTTTTCGTTCTATAAAACTTTATTTCTCTGTAGCATCGCTTCTCCCAATAGAAGTCATTTATATTAAGGCTTGAATAAGGACTAAGAAAGAATAATTGTGATTGTGAATAGCTTAACAAATTGTCTAGCCCAGGGGTTTTCAAAATACACTCCAAGGAATCCTGGGGATTGCCTGGACATTTTCAGGAGTCTGCAAATACAAAACTATTTTTACAATAATACTGAGATGTTCTTTGCCTTTTTCACTGCGGACATTTGTACCAATGGTAACAAAAGCAGTGGTGAGTAAAACTTCCGGCACCTTAGAACAAATCAAGTCAGAGCACCACGCTGTATCATTGTATTCTTCACTGCCATGCATTAAAAAACAAAAAAACTTTCACCTGAATGCACTTGTTGAAGTTAAAAAAAAATTTTTTTTAATCAAATCTTGGCTCTTATACATATTATTTCAATATAGTATGACAAAATGGAAAATATGCTTCAAACACTATTTTGCTGTCCCATTGAGGGTAAAATGGTTGTCTGTAGGAAAAGCATTTGTGTAATTATTGCAGTTGCAAGCTCAACCAGCCACTTTCTTCATGAATACTTTTTTTACTCGAGAGAATGCCTGAAAAACTATTCAGAGTTATTCAGACTTGGGTATTAAGCTGACATTTTCTTGAAAATAAACAAAATGAGCCTGTTTCTTTTTAGGAAAAGATCAACACTATTTATGGTCAGTGATAAAGTACTAGTTTCCAAATTTTGGAAAATTTGTATCAGCCATTGTGCTCTTGACAGCTTCCCAATATTTAGAAAATTTTTCTGATGATACTGGTGATGTTAATGAACATAGTTTTTTTTTTAAATAATATATAAAGTGTCAGCATTTGAAGATCTGCATAACTCTTTGTACAAGTATTTTCCAAGTGACCAGTGCATGATGTTACAAAATCATGCATGCATAAGAAATCCTTCCTAACTTCTAGCTAGACCTATGGATTTTAATGTTAAAACAGACCTAAAGTTTATTGGTAAGGTTTTCCATTCCAGTATATTGCAACCAGTTGTTAAGTTTTGGTGTAGTATCAAAGGAGAATATCCACATTTATCTGAAAAGGCTACTAAAATATCCCCAGCTGTGTGCTTATAATTCACTTTTTTGTATACTAGTTTTTCCATGCTTTGCTCTCAATGTATAATGTCTTGGATTGATTTGATTTTTGTTGGAGGGGAAGATAAGAATAGGAACCAGAGATATATGTGAAGCAGTATTTTCATGCACTTCATCTTGAAATCTCTTATTAATACATAGTCATTTTAGGTTGACTTTTTTTTAAGATGTATTTATTTTAGAGAGAGTGTGTGCAAGCAAGAGTGGGAGGGGCGGAGGGAGAAGGAGAGAGAATCTCAGGCGGACTCTGTGCTGAGCATGGAGCCCTATACAGGGCTCAATTTCACGACCTGGACATCACAACCTGAGCCAAAACCAGGAGTCGGAGGCGTAACCGACTTGGCCACCCAGACACCCCCTGGATTGACTTTTTTAAGTCTTCTCCTTGAGCATTCCATTCACCTTTTGATCATTGTAATAAATTAGGTGATTGTTATTTTTTAAGCTTATTTCTTGGTTTTAATACTTGTACATCTGATAAGTCATTCGCATAGATTGCATGTGTGCCCAAATTTTGACATAACCTTAAAAAAGTTTTTAATTGTTGACTTTCATGAGTTTAGGATATTTAGTAGCTTTCCTGTAGTAAAGCTATGGACTTTTTCCCATTTCAGGTTTAATAATGTGTCTTTGACCTGAGTATTTGCTGTGTTGTCTACCTTTAGTAGATATTTTTAAAACAAATTATAATGTTCTTATCTTTGGGGAGAAAGCGGTTTTTTGTTCATGCTTGTTCGAGAACAACCGTAGCAATCCTTGTTAACAACTATTTTTATAAACATTTTGTCATAGGACAGTTCCAAATTTTAAAGGATTTTTAGGCTAACCATTCAGTTCAAGTAATAAGTTTCAGATTATGAGAGAAGATAGGTAAATTGTAGATTATACTGTACTTTCTTGGAAATTTAGTGCCAGTTACTCCCCTAGAGGTAATAAAATGAGTGTGTTCTGTGAAGAAAGTAGTGAGTCTGAGTTCTACTGGTTGAAAGAACAGCATTGACGGAAGAGGCAGAGGCCTGGAGTGGAGTGGTTTAGAGGAATAAGTGTAAAAATGCTAACTTTGGGGTAGCTTTGAGGAATAAGCATTATGGAACTCCTGCCTACATGAGCTAATCCCACAGTGAGGGAGGGAATTTAATAGGAAACTTGAGTTCTCTCTATATTAAACAATTATCTGGTCAGCTGTTCTGCCTGTTCTGAGTTAGGGAACATACGGAGATCATATTTTATGTTCAGGACATCCAAATTAGTCACAAGGTTGCCACTGGCTATTGCTTATTCAGTTTTAGTTGCTAGCTGAAAAAATTGTTAACTTCCTCTATTTTAGATGTTTTACATTTAAGCTTTTTCTTCCAAGAGTCCTGTTACCTTACTTCATCCTTCCAACAAAGAGCAGACAAGATGTGCAAGCTTTTAAGGACAGAAGAGCATTCATAACATTTTTCTATTATTTACATGAAAGTGATGATGGTGATAATAGGCAGTAGAGAGGTGGGAGGACAGGAAGTCAAGCAGAAAAGAGTAAGGATGGTGATTAAGAAGTTCTCTTTCTAATGAGCAAACCTACTGTTACTGCACTCACTTTAGAGTTCAGGTTAACAGGAATGATAAACGCTTGGAAAAGCATTTGTGATGCTTTAGTGATTGATAAATCTTGTCTCCCAAGAAATGGTCCTGGGTAGAAGATAAATTGGTATTATCTATTGCGAGATTATGGGGTTAAAGTGAAAGTTTTCATCACTAAGCAGTGTAACTCTAGAGTACATTTACTTTTACTTTACTCCCCAACAGACTCTTATGCACTTTTCTCTGAACCTTCAGTGCTTAAATTGGACACTTATTTTCCTAGTAAATTTTAGCTGATTCCTTTGAGCATGAGGGGTAAATTTGAGAAATGATGTACTAGTTTTCAGTAGTTGCTAGACCTTTTATTCCACCCTATTAAGTATCATGACTTAGTGACGACAACTTTGAACTGGCTTCAGGCTTCAGTTGTCCCAGGCTTTGTCCCAGGCTTCAGTTCTCTCTCTGGCACTGGCTGTAAAACCTCGAACAAGTTAATGTCTCTCTCTCTCTCTCTCTCTCAGGACTTATCTTTACATAAGCCAGTTTGATGAAATGGCTGTTTAGGTCTTTTTGAACTCAAATCCTGTGTTTCTGTGATACTAACCTTGTTTAAGCCAGTCATCTCTTGTTTGGACTCCTTCAGGACCTTCCTAACTCGTTTCCATTCTTGTCCTCTTTTACCTTAGCCTCCACCTAGATTTTAAAAATCATCTTTTAAAAATGTGAATCAGATCATATATTACCCTCCAGTCCAAGCTCCCCTCCAACCCACCCCATTGGCTTAAAATAAAAGCCAGATCCAGTTCTTGCTTACTTCACAACTTTATCTCCTCTCCATTGTTCACTAAGCTCTACCCATATTGGACTTCTTCTGAGCTTGACCCAACAAGCCCTTTACCATCTTTTTTTTTTTTAGATTTTGTTTATTTATTTGATAGAGAGTACCAGTGAGGTGAGGCACAGAGGGAAAAGCAGACTCCCTGCTGAGCAGAGAGCCTGATGTGGGGCTGGTCCCAGAACCCCGGGATCATGACCTGAGCCGAAGACAGACGCTTAACCAATTTAGCCACTCAGGCACCCCCCCCCTACCATCTTTTGAGATTGGGTGTTTACAACTACTCTCTAGCACGATCTTTCCCCAGCTGTCTGCAATTCTGCCCAAGTATCATTATCAGATGCACATTTACAGGGAAGTTTCTCCTGATCACCTTATATAAAGGAGCATCCCCTTTATTATCTCCATAGCTCTTATCACAATTAATAATTACATTTATCCATTTATTCTCTCTTGCCCTCTAAACTGTTTGTTTCAAGAGAGCAGGAATACAATGTCACTTTGCCACCACAATCTCAAATGGTTAGACCGATAACTGGCACATAGTGCCCAACATTTTTTATTTTAAAGAAAAGAATACATAAGGTGTTCAATGATTTCTTTATCAGTTCCCATCATAGGCTACTTACACTAATTTTTTAGCGTGTTATATCTATTTCCAACTATAATTCCTCATTTAGGCTTCTGTCTCTGGAGGACTCATTCATCTGACTGCATGTTTTTGAGAGCTAATTATTCTCAGTTACTGTATGTTAGGATTAAATTGAGTAATTACGCACAAAGGTTTTTAGCAAAGACATGAAAAGTTAGTATGAAATTTAAATAGCGGTTTAAAATAATAATAATTGATACCCAAATGAGTGATAAAGGTGAGTGTTTATATAGAGTCAGAGGAATAGTGAAAAGTCTTAGGCTCTAGTAGTCAAAGAAGAAATTATAAATGAGGTGGGATCTGTACATGATATCAAGAGTATGTAAGACTAATAGTGAATCAGGGTGGGCAACTACAGAAATTAGAAAATGCAAAGTATGTTCAAAGGAGTGTTTTGCTATGGTAGATGTTTATGAAATGGATTATAGGTCCCCTTAAAATTCTTGGTCTCGGATACTTTGGAATTCAGAATTTTGTGGAAAGATTTGTTTTGAATTTTAGTAAGTAATCAATATTTCTAAAGTGAAACATGGATAGTCACACTAAATGGGATGAATAAAAACTAGATAGCCTCATGCTAGTGCTTAAGTGAAGTTTTACTGTGTAAAAAAAAATTGTATCTACTATGAGAAATGGACCTGAAATTGTTGGAAAGGCTTTACTCTTTATTACTTTGTGTCTTTGGGGAGGACATCAGGGTCTGAAAATGTTACTTGAAGCAATTAGCTTAAAAACAGTCTCTGCCAAGGAATTCTTTTTGACACAGATTCAGGATGGAATGCACTGCTTAGGCTGATGAGTCTGTAGGGAAAACCACCTAATTCCTAGGAGTCCAGTTAAATGTTTGGAAATAGTGAAGATTAATCTGTGTGTATTGGTGCCTGGAACGTAATAAATGGTTTTTTTAAATGTTTAATGATTCAGAGTTCATATTTTAGCCACAATTTCTTCATAGATTTTTTAGGATACCATGTGGTTTGTCTTCCAGTTCATAAGGTTTCTAAGAATTACGTAATACATTTCTTTGTAAGTTAGAGTACAAGAGAAGATCGGGATAGGAATATTATAGGACTAACATAATCTCTAAAAATTCTCGATGGAATCACTTATTTTTGACATGGAAGGAAATATCTGAAGATGCTTCTTTGAAACTCAGAATTGATTACAGAAAGTGCCTGCCCACTTTTTGTGGTTTCCCCATATGCTGTCCTTATTCCGATAGCCTGATTAACACCCAAACTTTGGTTCTCGTTGCTTTTAATCCATTCGTTTGGTACATAACTAATTTCCAAGAACGCAAACATGTATATGCTATTTTTTGGATACTGACTTCTATTATAGAATTGCCAAGACAGGCAAGTTCTGAAGTGACTTTTTTTTTTTTTTAAAAGTACTTACTGACCCACTAATTATGCAAGTTAAGTGGAGTAATGTATGAGAAAACCAAATATACAAGCATTATTTGGGGCTTCGAAGTGTAGCATGCATTTTATTTTTCTGAATGGCCTTTATTTGGTCACTGAGCGTCTTTGAACAAACTGAACATGGTAAAGTGTAAAAGGAAGAACTTAAATTAGTCAAAAATAACTTCATAAGACAGTTGTATAAGCCAGTGTCAGCATTAAGCAGCTAACATAAACTGCCGCTTAGATTGAGATACTAAAATTACTGGAGAAAATTATGGGAAGTACCTCTGCTCCCACTGTTTAAATTTTGTTAGTTGGTTAATTTTTCTCCTCTGAACTTTTGGCAGGTTTACTAGGGAATTTTCCATTAGCAATGTCCTGGCCTTGAAATTTCATTTAGAATTTAATTTAGTCATGCAAATTATGAACCCACAATCTAAGTCATGGCATTCTTATTATGGTTTCAAATGCATTTGGGGCAATCATATTAAGCTTTGTCATTTAATCCTAGTTAGGAGGCTAACAGTAAAATGAAATAAAATATTTTTTGCAGTCATTTATTCCTTCTGTCATGGAAGACACTAATTCTGTTTGTTTCTGAATTCAGCCTTATGTTGAAACAGATTGTAAAATTATGTTTTAAATGTTCCCCCCCATCCTTCTGGAAGGTGGTGTTTTGTAAAATCTGAGTATTTATATTAAAAGAAATATTTGTGGTGGTCTTCCATTTATGAAAACAGGTGTGGTTTATTCTGGAATTTTTACCCATAAATTCTAATTTATCTGCTAGCACTATCAGTGCCTCACTTCTGATTTCTTTTACTTTTGTCCTAACAGGTCATAAACTGTACTTCGTAGAGTATTTGCTTGAAATATATAAAAGCAGGTATTTTCCCTAAGAGGGATATTTCTGGTTAATGTAGTTATCTCATTCTGCAGCCTATTCAGAAAACATTATTGAGCACCTTTGGTGTTAGTGTTAAATTCTGGAATGACAAATCAGCAAACTTGGAGAAGATAAGGCTTCAGCTTGCAACAGAAAAATACATGGTTAGCTTTCTTACCCCCAGTAACAGTCATCCCTTTGAAGTGGTTGTATCGCTTTCTGTGACTTGTGGAAGTTGACATTAAGAGCAGGTTATTTAAATTACTGAAGAATCTGATTTCTGCAGACCTGAGGAACAACAGAGACTTTCCCTTTCTTTACTAAATTGGGGAACAGTTATCTGAAGGCAAAATGATGAATATGATGGTCAGGGGTGAACCCTGACCTTTCTTTGCTAGGAGTATAGGTCTTAGGGTCTTTAGGAGGAACAGGGAGGTGTTATCACAGTCTTCCAGAGGTACTTTTAAAAACTTAATGTGCACACACACACACACACACACAATCCCTACTATGATGAGAGATGTTACTGATGACTACTGCTGTGATACCACTTAGCTTTCCTAGGCTTCTGTGTCTTGAGATTTAAATTTGATCTGACTTTTGAGACCTTCCTTCCCACCATTCCCAGGAGTGATTTTGTCACCTCTTCAGATATCCCATGCATGGCTCCTTACTTCCTGTCCTGCTAGGGTGTGGCCCATAGGGCCAGACTGTATCTAACAGAAACATAATATCTGCCTCAAAATGTCTTATATAGATGTATGAATGTGTGTGTTCACATTTATTTTTAGAGAGACTTACCGGTGTCTGAAAAGACATAGGTCTAAATGAATCTTGGTTGACAACCTTGCTTTGTAGAAAGTAAAAATGCCAGGTACTAGCTTTCCCGGCCTCCCTTGCAGCTAGGGCGCAAGTGCTTTAGGTTGGTCCAGCAAACAAAGGAATTTTCTAAAATCTAAAGGGAAACTTTGCAGAGCTCC